GACCGAGGGGTGAAGGTAGCAAGTTTATGTTGGAGGGATTGAAAGATCTTTAGAGCTATTTCTTTAAGCAGAGCTTGAGTAACGTAGCTCCGGTTCGGTCCTTTAGGGCTAGACTGATCAGTCCTATACTCAGAATCTTCAGACTGAATCTTCTCTAATATTTGGAATAATCGGATGGGCTAATTACAGGGAGACTGAATCATCTCTAACACTAGGGGAGCATCATCTCTAACATTAAGATTTCTCTTTCGGTGCTTGTTGTGGATCGCTTGCGTGAGGACCCCTAAACTTATTCTTCCCTTCTTTCTGTCATGCCCGGCCCGTTCTCGAGTAATAAGCTAGTAGACAAAATATTTGTAGAACCAAAAATATAAAGTGTTCTATAGATACCCTATAACATGTTTTCTTATACATTCACACTCACTCATAATACAAATATACATGAAAGTACAAGTCTGATTACAACAATATCAACATCACAACAAAATATCAAAGCAAAAATAAAAAAAAATCACCTAATGTCCAAAATTCCAAGTCCATTGGATAGATAAACTTCAATATCTAAAATAACTACAAGTTGTGGTTCAAACACATCCATCGAAACTAGATAAAATGTCTAACAATTATATCTTGAAGTATCTACTGAACATAAAAAAAAATAAACTAAGCATTATTTATCAATGTTATCGCATAGCACTGACTACTTCCTCATAACTTGCTTATTGAAATTTGGTTGGTCCACTGTAATTAGACTCACTTCATTCCCTGAAGAAGGATGTCCACCAATGGTTAGACGTAAGGTCTAGCGAGGAAAATATTTAGAATTGCAAGAACCAATGGTTAGGTGCACATAATAATTATATCCTTATCATCTAGACAAGAATAACTATAAGAATCAAATGCAATGATCATAAGTCTCAAATTGTTACATATAGTGTTGTGCACGCAGCATATATCAAAGCATAAACAACTTATTAAAGAAATTAATTACGCTCTTATTTAGATATGAAATTACTGACTCTGCCTGCTTAAGATGGTTACACATTTATAACTCAAAATAATAAAAAAAGTACTCATATCGGAGTCCTCTGGCCAGCCAACCAGCCTTAAGTTGCAATTTGTCTTGCTAATTATCCCCCAAACCAATTGTTACTTAATTTGTATATGTAATTTTATGCACTAAAATCCACATCCTATGACAACCTCACACAACCTATTTAGTACTAACCAGAATGGTCCAAGTTAAAAATTAGCTGCCTAGTCGATTCATGTCTCAGGAATAACTAATCAGAATATACTCTATAGTCTAGAATATAGGTCCCTACACTAGTATACATGTACAAAAATTATGTTATAAACCTAACATGTCAACTCTCACACCATTCAACTCATAACGATGCCTAAACTATTGCTCATTCGCCTTATAGTGAGTTTTACATTTATTTTACATGTGATGAGTTATCCAAGCGATCAAAACACTCTATACATGGTGTAGGTATCTCATAGGACTACTACATCTTTAAATACTCATAAACTGTCTTATACAATATTTTAAAATTGATATATAGTCTAAACAGACTAAATAACATATCAACAAAGAGATAATATGATCAAAGAACAAATCAGATAGCTGATGAAATATCCATACGTTTGAAAATCATAAGGGAAAATCCCCTTTTAACCCAAAGTTTTACCCCCAATTATTTTAAAACCCATCCACTTTACTGAACACCAAAAAACCCATTATACCCATTTGGCTTAGTTTTAAACCCAATGCTCCTTATACCTCTCTATCTCTATACCGTATTTCCCCCAAAATAGAGAAACCCGACTTTGCCCTTTCTCTCTTCTTCTCATCACCGTCAACAATAGGCATTAATGGCGACAATGGCAGGAGAAAAGGGCGGGCTACACTCAGTCTTCACAAACCCCCAATTTGGTCCCCATCTTCAATTACTCTCTCCTTCTCTCTCTCCTCCATTAATTTCTCCTCTCTTCTTGAGAAATCTCTCTCCTCCATTAATATTTCTCTTCATAGAAGACATTAATCCTACATCAAATCAGTGGTTGAGATCTCATGTTCGTTTCTTGCAGTAAAAGAAGACATTTAAAGGTAACTATAAAGTGATTGAGATCCCATCCTTATATCTTGATTTGTTGAAATGTCTAAATTTTTAAATGAGAAAACCTTTATCATGTTGAGACTACTATTTTCTCATGAGAAAACCCTAATTCTGTTGATTACATCATTTGTAGTGAGAGTTTGGAAAGTGCTATACTTTCTTTAAAAAGTGCTATGAAAAGCTAAGCAATGTACCCGTTCTATATTTTCTTTATTTGATTCACAAAATAAAAATCATTTGTTCCTCATTTCTATAGAATGTAGAAAAATCTGGTCTTTGAATATTTAGGAATGAATATTGAATTATATTGTATAGAAACATAGAGAATTGCATATTGAATGCCGATGTTGAATTATATCGTATACAATAAGAAAATGCATGTTAGACTTGTGTTTGTTTGGTAATATTTGATTGTTAGTTAGTTCCCCACTTATTTTATTTTTTATGAATTTCAGTAATGGAAGAAGAGCTATATTGTGCAATTATGGACTTTAGAGGAAACAATCATTTGATTCCAATGAATATCAAGGGGACTTTCAGTAATTTAGTGGCCGAGGTGCAAAGTAGAATTGCTTTTTTTTCAAGCCCAGTGAAGCTGACTTATGAAGTCCCATATACAGAAGAATTGTTTGTACGTGTCCATGATGACGTCGATTTGTCAACAATGTTCGATGTACATCTAAGTTGCAAGAAGAAGATAGTTAAGATGCATGTTGACATAGATCGAGATACATTATTTGGTCTAGAGGAAAACACCATTCACATAAGGTAAGAACTTATTGTATATTGTGAGGTCCATATTTCACAAAATTAATCCATGTTTATTTAATTTCTCTGTAGTTCAAAGAAAAATTATGACGATATAATATGTCGGCAATTAGCTGTAGTACTAGATAAGAATTTTCATTAATGTTTCTAATTGCTAGTCTTATAAGGTAACTGCTTTATGTTTGCAGGAATCCTACCATATCTCTTTCGGAACAACATGCATCCTCGACGCATAATCTATCCAATTCAGAAAATGCATTACGTGAAGTTGAGAGATCTAGTATTCAGATTCCTATTTCATGGTATCATGCCATTAGAAGTGTCGGACAAGAATTTAATGATGTTGAACATCTAAGGCAAAGTCTTGGAAATTACTCAATTGCTCTCGGTTTTAACTTTGCTTATTTGAAAAATGAACCTAGAAGATTGATAGTAAAATGCAAAGGTGCTGACTGTGAATGGATGGTCCATTGTAACCGTCGTACAGACTGCAAACGGTTTTACGTGAAGAAAATTGGTCGTGCACATAGTTGTCTCGGAGGAGGCATAGGAGAGAAGGGACATCCACGGGCATCTCGTAAGTGGGTTGCAAATATTGTGAAATCCATACTAAAAGAACAACCCACCTACCGCGCAATTGATCTTAAAAAGAAGCTTCTGAGAGAGTTTGGCGTTGATATCCCCTATGGAAGAGCTTGGTGTGGGAAAGAGCTTGCTCAACAGGAGTTATATGGGTATGCAAAACATTCATATGAACAACTTAGATGGTACAAGGATAAAGTTATGGAAACTAACCCAGGATCAATCGTCCATCTAGAACATGAAGATGGCAGATTTACTAGATTTTTTATCTCATATTATGCTTGTTGGAAGGGTTTTGTCGAGGGATGTAGACCAATTTTATTCTTGGATGGCACCCATCTTTTTGATAGGTACAAGGGAACTCTACTTGCTGCTACTGCTTTGAATGGAGATGGAGGAATGTTTCCTGTCGCTCTTTGTATTTGTGGAACCGAGAATGAGAGCAATTGGGAGTGGTTCCTTGAATGCATTCGTGACGTATTGTACAATTCAGATGATTCATATACTCCGAATGATGAGCTAGTTATAATCTCTGATCGAGACAAAGGACTTCAAAATTCCATCAAGAATTGCTTCCCTTGTTCATATCACAGTTATTGCATCCGCCATTTAATGGCCAATTATAAGAACAACTTGTCAAAGAAAAGATTACCAGCACCACTTAGGGATGATTGTGTTCAAATTATGAAGAGAGCTGCCTATGCCTACACAATGCATGCTTATCATAATGAATGCAACGAGCTCCAGAATAAGTCATCTATTGCTTTCATTGAAATGCTGAATATGAGCCCACAGAACTGGGCTAATTGTTATTTTCCTGGAAAGAGGTCACCATTTTTACATATTTTTGGTCTTTGTGATTGAACTCTCTGATATGTGTGTTTGAACATGTATAACATTTGAATAATCCTATAGCTATAACATGGTTGCAGGTATGGGTGGTTAACCTCAAATCTAGCTGAGTCCTTCAACGCATGGATTAAGGAAGCCCGATTTTTACCGATAGCGCAGTTGGTTGATCACATCCGGGTGAAGATGATGAAAATGAGCTACGATAGACGTGAGGAATCCAACAAATGGACTACACCACTTGTTCCTAGTGTAGAGGAGCATCTTGTCCTGATCAACGAGGGTGCACGTTGTCTTCATGTTAATCCTTCTACGTCGATTCTGTATGAAGTATATGATTCCCCATCTGTTAGAGTGAATTTGGAGTACCGCACGTGTACTTGTCGCCAATGGCAAGTTCTTGGACTACCTTGCAAGCATACGGCCGCCGTAATCAGGCACAAAGATTAGCTATTGTATCCATATATTTCTGACTATTTCAGCACGGAGGTGTACCGCAAGTGTTACTCCTTTCCCATATATCCAATTCCTGATGATGAGAAGCCAATTATAACGGATGAGAATATGGAGATTAGACCTCCATTAACCTCGATTCGTAGAGGAAGGCCAAAAACAAAGCGGATCCCTTCTGGACTAAATCCTTCTAGAATGTTGAAGTGTAGCCGATGTAAGGAGTTCGGTCACAATCGACGAACATGTAACCAACCAATAGCTGATTGAAATATCATGCTTTTGAATATTTTCAAATCAGTTTGATTGTGATCTTCATGGACCTATTATAGGTTGATTACGTTTTGGTGGTGAAGATCAAAAAACAAACTATTTTGATTATTGTAAATTTTGTGTAACTACTTCAGTTATTATGGGTTGATTATGTTTTGGTGGTGAAGATCAAAAAACAAACTATTTTGATTATTGTAACTTTTGTGTAATTACTTCAGTAGTTTTAATGTTATTTTAGTTAGTTTTATTGTTATATCTATTTGTGTTGTGGTGTAACTACTTTAATTAGCTTGTGTATCCGAAATCGAGTGTTCTGTCGCGGAGAAAAAACTAAAAAAAAACGAAATCGAGTGTTCTGTCGCGGAGAAAAAAATCCGAAATCGAGTATTCTGAGCTCCGAGTCGTCGCGAACCATTTCAGTTTTTTTCCCCGCGGCGAGAACAAGTATTCTGAGCTCCGAGTCGTCGCGAACCATTTCAGTTTTTTTCCCCGCGGCGAGAACACTCGGCGACCAACGCGTCGTCGTAATAGGCCGATCATCCGCCGCGTCGGCCGGTCCTCGCCCAATTTCGAAGCTTCAGGCAAAGTATAGCACCTTATTACAAAGTATAGCACCTTATGGCCAAAGTATAGCACCTTGTTGCAAAGTATAACACCTTATGGCCAAAGTATAGCACCTTATTAGCAAGTATAGCACCTTACGCTCTCTGGAAATTCTGAGATCCGAGTCGTCGCGACCATTTCAGTTTTTTTCCACGCGACGAGAACACTCGGCGACCGACGCGTTGTCATAATAGGCCGATCATCCGCCGCGTCGGGTCCTCGACCAATTTCGAAGCTTCAGTCAAAGTATAGCACCTTATTGCATAGTATAGCACCTTATGGCCAAAGTATAGCACCTTATTACAAAGTATAGCACCATATGGCCAAAGTATAGCACCTTATGGCCAAAGTATAGCACCTTACGCGACGACTCGGAGCTCAGAATTTCCAGAGAGCGTAAGGTGCTATACTTGGGCCATAAGGTGCTATACTTTGACAATAAGGTGCTATACTTTGCAACAAGGTGCTATACTTTGGCCATAAGGTGCTATACTTTACAATAAGGTGCTATACTTTGCCTGAAGCTAAAGTATAGCACCTTATGGCCAAAGTATAGCACCTTGTTGCAAAGTATAGCACCTTATTGTCAAAGTATAGCACCTTATGGCCCAAGTATAGCACCTTACGCTCTCTGGAAATTCTGAGCTCCGAGTCGTCGCGACCATTTCAGTTTTTTTCCGCGCGACGAGAACACTCGGCGACCGACGCGTCGTCGTAATAGGCCGATCATCCGCCGCGTCGGCCGGTCCTCGCCTAATTTCGAAGCTTCAGGCAAAGTATAGCACCTTATTGCAAAGTATAGCACCTTATGGCCAAAGTATAGCACCTTACGCTCTCTGGAAATTCTGAGCTCCGAGTCGTCGCGACCATTTCAGTTTTTTTCCGCGCGACGAGAACACTCGGCGACCGACGCGTCGTCGTAATAGGCCGATCATCCGCCGCGTCGGCCGGTCCTCGCCCAATTTCGAAGCTTCAGGCAAAGTATAGCACCTTATTGCAAAGTATAGCACCTTATGGCCAAAATATAGCACCTTATTGCAAAGTATAGCACCTTATGGCCAAAGTATAGCACCTTACGCTCTCTGGAAATTCTGAGCTCCGAGTCGTCGCGACCATTTCAGTTTTTTTCCACGCGACGAGAACACTCGGCGACCGACGCGTCGTCGTAATAGGCCGATCATCCGCCGCGTCGGCCGGTCCTCGCCCAATTTCGAAGCTTCAGGCAAAGTATAGCACCTTATTGCAAAGTATAGCACCTTATGGCCAAAGTATAGCACCTTACGCTCTCTGGAAATTCTGAGCTCCGAGTCGTCGCGACAATTTCAGTTTTTTTCCGCGCGACGAGAACACTCGGCGACCGACGCGTCGTCGTAATAGGCCGATCATCCGCCGCGTCGGCCGGTCCTCGCCCAATTTCGAAGCTTCAGGCAAAGTATAGCACCTTATTGCAAAGTATAGCACCTTATGGCCAAAGTATAGCACCTTGTTGCAAAGTATAGCACCTTATGGCCAAAGTATAGCACCTTACGCTCTCTGGAAATTCTGAGCTCCGAGTCGTCGCGACAATTTCAGTTTTTTTCCGCGCGACGAGAACACTCGGCGACCGACGCGTCGTCGTAATAGGCCGATCATCCGCCGCGTCGGCCGGTCCTCGCCCAATTTCGAAGCTTCAGGCAAAGTATAGCACCTTATTGCAAAGTATAGCACCTTATGGCCAAAGTATAGCACCTTACGCTCTCTGGAAATTCTGAGCTCCGAGTCGTCGCGACAATTTCAGTTTTTTTCCGCGCGACGAGAACACTCGGCGACCGACGCGTCGTCGTAATAGGCCGATCATCCGCCGCGTCGGCCGGTCCTCGCCCAATTTCGAAGCTTCAGGCAAAGTATAGCACCTTATTGCAAAGTATAGCACCTTATGGCCAAAGTATAGCACCTTACGCTCTCTGGAAATTCTGAGCTCCGAGTCGTCGCGACAATTTCAGTTTTTTTCCGCGCGACGAGAACACTCGGCGACCGACGCGTCGTCGTAATAGGCCGATCATCCGCCGCGTCGGCCGGTCCTCGCCCAATTTCGAAGCTTCAGGCAAAGTATAGCACCTTATTGCAAAGTATAGCACCTTATGGCCAAAGTATAGCACCTTACGCTCTCTGGAAATTCTGAGCTCCGAGTCGTCGCGACCATTTCAGTTTTTTTCCGCGCGACGAGAACACTCGGCGACCGACGCGTCGTCGTAATAGGCCGATCATCCGCCGCGTCGGCCGGTCCTCGCCCAATTTCGAAGCTTCAGGCAAAGTATAGCACCTTATTGCAAAGTATAGCACCTTATGGCCAAAGTATAGCACCTTACGCTCTCTGGAAATTCTGAGCTCCGAGTCGTCGCGACCATTTCAGTTTTTTTCCGCGCGACGAGAACACTCGGCGACCGACGCGTCGTCGTAATAGGCCGATCATCCGCCGCGTCGGCCGGTCCTCGCCCAATTTCGAAGCTTCAGGCAAAGTATAGCACCTTATTGCAAAGTATAGCACCTTATGGCCAAAGTATAGCACCTTACGCTCTCTGGAAATTCTGAGCTCCGAGTCGTCGCGACCATTTCAGTTTTTTTCCGCGCGACGAGAACACTCGGCGACCGACGCGTCGTCGTAATAGGCCGATCATCCGCCGCGTCGGCCGGTCCTCGCCCAATTTCGAAGCTTCAGGCAAAGTATAGCACCTTATTGCAAAGTATAGCACCTTATGGCCAAAGTATAGCACCTTACGCTCTCTGGAAATTCTGAGCTCCGAGTCGTCGCGACCATTTCAGTTTTTTTCCGCGCGACGAGAACACTCGGCGACCGACGCGTCGTCGTAATAGGCCGATCATCCGCCGCGTCGGCCGGTCCTCGCCCAATTTCGAAGCTTCAGGCAAAGTATAGCACCTTATTGCAAAGTATAGCACCTTATGGCCAAAGTATAGCACCTTACGCTCTCTGGAAATTCTGAGCTCCGAGTCGTCGCGACCATTTCAGTTTTTTTCCGCGCGACGAGAACACTCGGCGACCGACGCGTCGTCGTAATAGGCCGATCATCCGCCGCGTCGGCCGGTCCTCGCCCAATTTCGAAGCTTCAGGCAAAGTATAGCACCTTATTGCAAAGTATAGCACCTTATGGCCAAAGTATAGCACCTTACGCTCTCTGGAAATTCTGAGCTCCGAGTCGTCGCGACCATTTCAGTTTTTTTCCGCGCGACGAGAACACTCGGCGACCGACGCGTCGTCGTAATAGGCCGATCATCCGCCGCGTCGGCCGGTCCTCGCCCAATTTCGAAGCTTCAGGCAAAGTATAGCACCTTATTGCAAAGTATAGCACCTTATGGCCAAAGTATAGCACCTTACGCTCTCTGGAAATTCTGAGCTCCGAGTCGTCGCGACCATTTCAGTTTTTTTCCGCGCGACGAGAACACTCGGCGACCGACGCGTCGTCGTAATAGGCCGATCATCCGCCGCGTCGGCCGGTCCTCGCCCAATTTCGAAGCTTCAGGCAAAGTATAGCACCTTATTGCAAAGTATAGCACCTTATGGCCAAAGTATAGCACCTTACGCTCTCTGGAAATTCTGAGCTCCGAGTCGTCGCGACCATTTCAGTTTTTTTCCGCGCGACGAGAACACTCGGCGACCGACGCGTCGTCGTAATAGGCCGATCATCCGCCGCGTCGGCCGGTCCTCGCCCAATTTCGAAGCTTCAGGCAAAGTATAGCACCTTATTGCAAAGTATAGCACCTTATGGCCAAAGTATAGCACCTTACGCTCTCTGGAAATTCTGAGCTCCGAGTCGTCGCGACCATTTCAGTTTTTTTCCGCGCGACGAGAACACTCGGCGACCGACGCGTCGTCGTAATAGGCCGATCATCCGCCGCGTCGGCCGGTCCTCGCCCAATTTCGAAGCTTCAGGCAAAGTATAGCACCTTATTGCAAAGTATAGCACCTTATGGCCAAAGTATAGCACCTTACGCTCTCTGGAAATTCTGAGCTCCGAGTCGTCGCGACCATTTCAGTTTTTTTCCGCGCGACGAGAACACTCGGCGACCGACGCGTCGTCGTAATAGGCCGATCATCCGCCGCGTCGGCCGGTCCTCGCCCAATTTCGAAGCTTCAGGCAAAGTATAGCACCTTATTGCAAAGTATAGCACCTTATGGCCAAAGTATAGCACCTTACGCTCTCTGGAAATTCTGAGCTCCGAGTCGTCGCGACCATTTCAGTTTTTTTCCGCGCGACGAGAACACTCGGCGACCGACGCGTCGTCGTAATAGGCCGATCATCCGCCGCGTCGGCCGGTCCTCGCCCAATTTCGAAGCTTCAGGCAAAGTATAGCACCTTATTGCAAAGTATAGCACCTTATGGCCAAAGTATAGCACCTTACGCTCTCTGGAAATTCTGAGCTCCGAGTCGTCGCGACCATTTCAGTTTTTTTCCGCGCGACGAGAACACTCGGCGACCGACGCGTCGTCGTAATAGGCCGATCATCCGCCGCGTCGGCCGGTCCTCGCCCAATTTCGAAGCTTCAGGCAAAGTATAGCACCTTATTGCAAAGTATAGCACCTTATGGCCAAAGTATAGCACCTTACGCTCTCTGGAAATTCTGAGCTCCGAGTCGTCGCGACCATTTCAGTTTTTTTCCGCGCGACGAGAACACTCGGCGACCGACGCGTCGTCGTAATAGGCCGATCATCCGCCGCGTCGGCCGGTCCTCGCCCAATTTCGAAGCTTCAGGCAAAGTATAGCACCTTATTGCAAAGTATAGCACCTTATGGCCAAAGTATAGCACCTTACGCTCTCTGGAAATTCTGAGCTCCGAGTCGTCGCGACCATTGGCCATAAGGTGCTATACTTTGCAATAAGGTGCTATACTTTGGCCATAAGGTGCTATACTTTGCAATAAGGTGCTATACTTTGGCCATAAGGTGCTATATTTTGCAATAAGGTGCTATACTTTGACTGAAGCTTCGAAATTGGTCGAGGATCGGCCGACGCGGCGGATGATCGGCCTATTACGACGACGCGTCGGTCACCGAGTGTTCTCGTCGCGCGGAAAAAAACTGAAATGGTCGCGACGACTCGGAGCTCAGAATTTCCAGAGAGTGTAAGGTGCTATACTTTGGCCATAAGGTGCTATACTTTGGCCATAAGGTGCTATACTGTTCAATAAGGTGCTATACTTTGGCCATAAGGTGCTATACTTTGCAATAAGGTGCTATACTTTGCCTGAAGCTTCGAAATTAGGCGAGGACCGGCCGACGCGGCGGATGATCGGCCTATTACGACGACGCGTCGGTCGCCGAGTGTTCTCGTCGCGCGGAAAAAAACTGAAATGGTCGCGACGACTCGGAGCTCAGAATTTCCAGAGAGCGTAAGGTGCTATACTTTGGCCATAAGGTGCTATACTTTGCAATAAGGTGCTATACTTTGGCCATAAGGTGCTATACTTTGCAATAAGGTGCTATACTTTGCCTGAAGCTTCGAAATTAGGCGAGGACCGGCCGACGCGGCGGATGATCGGCCTATTACGACGACGCGTCGGTCGCCGAGTGTTCTCGCCGCGGGAAAAAAACTGAAATGGTTCTGGACGACTCGGAGCTCAGAATTTCCAGAGAGCGTAAGGTGTTATACTTTGGCCATAAGGTGCTATACTTTTCAATAAGGTGCTATACTTTGGCCATAAGGTGCTATACTTTGCAATAAGGTGCTATACTTTGGCCATAAGGTGCTATACTTTGCAATAAGGTGCTATACTTTGCCTGAAGCTTCGAAATTGGGCGAGGACCGGCCGACGCGGCGGATGATCGGCCTATTACGACGACGCGTCGGTCGCCGAGTGTTCTCGTCGCGCGGAAAAAAACTGAAATGGTCGCGACGACTCGGAGCTCAGAATTTCCAGAGAGCGTAAGGTGCTATACTTTGGCCATAAGGTGCTATACTTTGCAATAAGGTGCTATACTTTGGCCATAAGGTGCTATACTTTGCAATAAGGTGCTATACTTTGGCCATAAGGTGCTATACTTTGCAATAAGGTGCTATACTTTGCCTGAAGCTTCGAAATTGGGCGAGGACCGGCCGACGCGGCGGATGATCGGCCTATTACGACGACGCGTCGGTCGCCGAGTGTTCTCGTCGCGCGGAAAAAAACTGAAATGGTCGCGACGACTCGGAGCTCAGAATTTCCAGAGAGCGTAAGGTGCTATACTTTGGCCATAAGGTGCTATACTTTGCAACAAGGTGCTATACTTTGGCCATAAGGTGCTATACTTTGCAATAAGGTGCTATACTTTGCCTGAAGCTTCGAAATTAGGCGAGGACCGGCCGACGCGGCGGATGATCGGCCTATTACGACGACGCGTCAATTTCACACAAGCTATGTGGTTGGAGACTGCCAACTCCACGATCAAATCGGCCATCCTCTTGCGTGTGGCCCACACTTTCTTTTTATCTTTATTTTCATCCTTCTTGTCGACTTTCCTCTTCTTCCTCTTACCGGCCTTCTTCTCCTCCTCCTTCTCTGTTTGGGTCTTCTTACCATACACATGCTCGGTGTATATAGTATTAGGTACTCGACCATCCATTACAACCTTATTTCCAGTCTTCGGCAATCCGGTTATTTCATGCACATGTACAAAACTGAACACGATATCCTTTCCCCCAATCCTGAATGAGCTATGCTCTGGATTAAATGCATGAAGCAAGCAATCAACTGAAACTTGTTCATTAGGAATAGCCGGTAGATTAATGAAGTGGAAAAAAGGGGTTTGACGGAGGGCTTCATAATGATTGTTATGTAGCAAAGGCCTTAACCGATTGTTCACCAAGTCACGAAATACGCCGATATTTGAAGGCAATCTTAACTCTGCTTTATTTTTCCTACAAAAAGAATACATCAATCAAAACGAATGGCCCTTATAAATGTAAAAATTAAGAGATCGTAAAGCAAAGTGATAAAGCATTAAGAACTTAAAACATTTGACTACACACTGAACCTGCTAATAATCAAATGCCGCAATCAATGATTACATGATAAAATGATAATATGTTAGGAAAATGAATCACATTAATACATTTTAAGTTATAGTCATACCCATCCTGTTGAGCAACCTGTCGGGTTTCTATACTATACTCATCCACATTTTTTATTTTCCATTCATCCTTTATGCAAGCTAAGAAATTGTTCATGAACATCTTGGCATCATTAAGATATTTAATGTATGTGAGTGAGGAATAGTGATAAATTTTTTTCTCATCCTTAATCAATTCCAATAAATGCCAATGACTACTGCTAAGAATAGGAAAAATTATCTTCTCGCTATCTTCAAAGCATGCATGTGGAAGCTGTCGACCCTTGAGTAGTCTTGCCCAATGGCCGAGATTATCTTCTAGTAATGCTCTCTGTTAAAACATGACCATAACATTTAACAAAAAATAATATAAATGATAGTAAATTTTCCTAATACTCACAGCAAAGAATGATCCTGTGATGTGTATGTGTTTTGAATATGCTTCTGTTTCAATCTTCATCTTAAATCTCTCTATCATACCATCGACTAACTGAAAATTATTCATAATAGAATGATCACAACTAAAATATGGAAATACGCACAAAACTATTAAAGATTGGGAACTTACACTATCGGAAATTGCGCTTCCAATAAGAAGATGATACACATCTAACCGGGTAACAGATTGCCAAACATACTCATCTCTATGACAAATGAAACAAACACAAGTTAGTAGATGTAATATGAAAGGAAGCGCAACATAAAATGAAAGTTATGAAAATCGCATGTGTGGTTCAAAATTACACCTGTTCATTCTCTTCTTGCAAAACTCATCAAGGAGTTTCCTCTCACTTTCAGTTAACTGTCCCTTTGCTGGGTAATCGCAATTCTTTGGAATAAAATCAGTCTCGCTATTGACATTCCTTCTCTTCTGCGGCGTTGCAATTGGGAAACATCAATCACTTCATTCTTTTCATCACACCCCGGCGTTTGCAATTGTGAAACATTAATTATCTCCTTCTTCTCATGACGGCCTCGGCCGCGCAACTGTGTGTAAGGTGAACGTCTTGCACGTGCGGGTTGACGTTTCCTATCTCTAACGACCCGTTTAATTGATGGGGTCCTAGCTTTGATGTCCCTTGCTGACGTCCTTGAAAAAGATATAGGCAAGAAGTCTTCATCTTCAATGAGCTCTTCTGCAATCATCTCTGGTTGCTTTCCCTTACGCTTGGAATTAGATCGACCACTGGATTTCTCACTCCTTTCAACATCTTCACCCATCTCTTCATTACTCTGTACTCCTCGTTCCCCTGTATTACCCTTGTCATCCTCAACGACATTCCCCCCGACATTAGTATTGTCGTCATCCCCATCATCCCCATCATCGCCACCATCATCCTCATCATCCCCATCATCACCACCATCCTCCTCATCATCCCCATCGCTTTCTTCTTCCCCTTCAGTTTCATTTTCAGCTTCATTACCACAATTACCGCCACTCATTTTCAGCTTCATTACCACAATTACCACCACTAATCAATTTTTTCTCCAACTCAATAAGCTCCTCATACTCCTCTCTATTTTTGGCAAGCAGGTCACGTACTTGATGTAATGTCATCGCCTACAAATACAACACAATGAATGGGTTTTCATTTGAAAAAGATATAATAGATTAATAGCAATAACACAACAATAGAGAAATGAAGTGTACATACCGGTTGATGACGTGATGCACTAGGAATGGTTGATATGGTGGGTTGACTAGTGTAATTCCTAATACACTTTGGGTTTTCAATTATCCTCATCATCCCTTTTCGCCGTAATGATCGAGACTTCCTCTCAATAAAAATGGGGTGTAAGGAATCCTCTTTTATTTCACACTTGAGCTCCCCCACTAGTTCATAAAACCAAACCTACAAAAAAAAACAAATTAATTTAGTTACAACTAGTAGAACATATGCAAATAAAATTATATAATGATCCTTAAAACTCACCACCAAGACTGAAGCAAACCCTCCCATGTATCCGGCTCGTGACCTCTCTCCTACTGCTCTCTTTGTGATGGACAATTTTGCCTTCGTCATCTCCTTATGCAGTAGATCATACACGGCACCAGCCCAATTGTAAGAACGAAGAGCAAGTAAATTGTTCGCATATCTAAATGCCCACAATGGACATGAGTTAGAGGGCTGCGGGCATAATACAAATCCAATAATAAAGGCAACAAGCAATTTCACACAAGCTATGTGGTTGGAGACTGCCAACTCCACGATCAAATCGGCCATCCTCTTGCGTGTGGCCCACACTTTCTTTTTATCTTTATTTTCATCCTTCTTGTCGACTTTCCTCTTCTTCCTCTTACCGGCCTTCTTCTCCTCCTCCTTCTCTGTTTGGGTCTTCTTACCATACACATGCTCGGTGTATATAGTATTAGGCGCTCGACCATCCATTACAACCTTATTTCCAGTCTTCGGCAATCCGGTTATTTCATGCACATGTACAAAACTGAACACGATATCCTTTCCCCCAATCCTGAATGAGCTATGCTCTGGATTAAATGCATGAAGCAAGCAATCAACTGAAACTTGTTCATTAGGAATAGCCGGTAGATTAATGAAGTGGAAAAAAGGGGTTTGACGGAGGGCTTCATAATGATTGTTATGTAGCAAAGGCCTTAACCGATTGTTCACCAAGTCACGAAATACGCCGATATTTGAAGGCAATCTTAACTCTGCTTTATTTTTCCTACAAAAAGAATACATCAATCAAAACGAATGGCCCTTATAAATGTAAAAATTAAGAGATCGTAAAGCAAAGTGATAAAGCATTAAGAACTTAAAACATTTGACTACACACTGAACCTGCTAATAATACAGAGAGAATAATACTTTTAGTACATAAATAATCATGAAGCAAATATAATGTCTATGATCTTTTTACACGGGCTGTGATAAGGAACCATTAATAGAAACCATGGGACATATATCAAAAATCCAATAGGCCAGACAAGAAGCACCAGAAAATCCATCCTTCAACTGAGAAGATACTTGACCTTTCACACGATATAAGCCTCACACTGATGATCCGCATGTGGGTGCAACTGTTAATACTAGTTATTACTGTTGGAAAATTACTTTTGAAGAGTTGAGCTACAACAAGGTAAATAAAGGAACCAATTAGTAGCCACAATTGTTCAGCAATAAGCTTCACATGAGCAGATTATGAGCAAAAGATAACAACGAAATCATTTTTGTTTGCACCCAACAAATGTCCAAGCCAATAATAACTTGCAAATACAAAGCATTATAAGGTATGCACATAACAGAAGTTGAAAATCAAGTCCACATTAAAGTAAACAATATGAAAGAAAATATATGTTCTTTACATTTGAAAACAAACACAGTATTGTTCCAAGCGAAAAACTTAAAATCTCTACACTTGCTCATCGTCAGGAGTCCGACTCAGAAAATTCTCAAGCTTCCCTATTGAATACATGCAAGTGATTAAACTATTTCGGAGTTCCTCTGATGTTTGCCGCGAAGAAGGAGAAGAAAGTCTGAGAAAAATGGTAGCACGAATGTGTCTAACTCTATTGTCCACATTTCCATAGTGTTCCGAATAAAGATACCTTTTACGTTGAGTTGCTTTTATCTTCAAGACGTTAATTACATCATCTAAGATTAAAATTTTGATGACCCCATACTAGAACTCTCGTAAAACTGTGTAGCGTAAACGACTTTTTAAAAAAATGAACTTTTTACAGCCACAAACAAAAGGACAAAGCTGATGTATACAAACAATAATATAGACAAATCAGTGAAATTGGTATTATAGGGTATATTTAGCATGGTCAGAGACTTAACTGGAAATAAGTCAAAACATGGACAATAAGCATCTTTATACAGCTAAATTTGATAATGAAGGAGTTGCTCATGTAAACTTTTATCAATATATTCAACTCTTCACATGCTAATATCTATTGTTTAATTCCTCTATTACCAACTTATTATCTACTGTTTCATTGATGTAGGATAAAAAACAACTATTGTCGCAGAACACTAGTTATGTTGGAGTTTTCTCCTGATGCTCTTATTTATCATTCGTATGTATCAGACGTATCTAGGGATCTAGGGATCCAAATCTTCATATTCAATTTCATTTACAAGTAAAAAATAAGAAATAATTAAAATTTAGGAAATAACAATAATTTCAGATAAATTATAATTTACTTACTTAGTAGCCTTAGACGTCGATTGGGAAGAACCCCTCGATCTCCTTCTGCTTGACATCTTCGACAACCTATTGACAAATATTTCAAAAAGTACAATATAATTATGAATATCCCAGCGATAGGTTGGAATTCCTTTATAAATAATGATTTCAACACCAAGCTATCATAGGTGATAAACCTTAGATGTTTGAGAGATTACAGTGATATAAGTACATTCTTATCTTTCGGGCCCTTTCAACAATTTATACGTGCAAGTTGCATGTGATCAAAACTACAACAAGGGGCTTAATTTCAAAAGAAAGTGTTTTTCTTTTGGAACTTTAATTAGGTCAGCCAAACAATGGATAAATTGTTAGTACTCACCGATGTAAATAAGAGTGAAGATACTAAACGAACTTTCAATGTGCGCAACAATACAGTCCCACGATGACCTAAATTATACCAAACATCAACATAATTAGGTCAAGAGATCATCCATTTCCATAAATTAATTTAAAAAAAGAGCTTAATCACAACTGCAGGAAACCCTTTCTTTCGATCTCTCCCAACTCCAATATCTCTCGCTACAGACAAAACCCGATTAATCCAAGCCCTAACTCTCTTCGTCGCCTTCTCTACAACCTCATTCGAAATATGAAAACACTCAGTGATATGAGGAACTTGTGATGAAATTCGATGATCTAGGGGCTTAATTTCAAGTATTAGAGAGGAAAAGGGGATGATTAGTGTGTTACCCGCTTTCAGACCCGTGCAACCGCCATCCGTCGTCGCTCCAAATGTCCTCCGCTTTCAGACCCGTGCAGCCGCCGTACGTCGTCGCTCACCGTCGAACCAACTCCCTTCGCCGCCGCCGGTGTTCCTCAACCAAAGATCTCGCCGAAACCCTAGTCTCTCCTGGATTCTTTGAGAAAGTGAAACGAAAGAGAAACGAAACAGAGAGAGGAGATGAGTTAAATTTGGGAATTTGGGAATTAAGGGTAGTTTAGGAATTTTTAATTTATTGGGTAAATACAGTACAAAAAATGGGTGTATTATACATGTTGGGTTTAAAAATAAGTGAGATGAGATACAGTGGATCTATTGGTGTTTGTAAAAGTGAGTGGGTTTTTAAATAATTGGGGGTAAAACTTTGGGTTAGAAGAGATTTTTCCCAAATCATAAACTAGATGTCTCCCAAAAAGTCTAGTCGTCTCTGACAAACAAGACCAAAGACTGGTTTCTGTCAATCCTCGATCAGGCAACTACATCGCTTGTCCAGATGTCTGGTACCATTCAGACGTCTGCTATCGGATGACCACACGTCTGAATTTGGTTCAAACATCTGATGCACGCATGCTTAGACAACTAATCCATCATTGCTCCTGGATGATTGATATTCTATGACGTCGTTCTTCGCTATTTTCCCCCCAGTTTCTTCATAACTCCTTGGAATTGTTCTAAGGATTAATTAACCATGTTTTTACATGTTTTCAAAGATCGAAAAATATAGAAATACGAAGAACTATAGTTTCGTGCAGGTTTTGTGCATGTTTTCCAAATCTATCGATCGTGTACGGTAAAAACCCATTATATTTGATAATAACTTGTTTAAAATTAACATAAGGAAAAATCAACTAAGAATCCTAATATGATTAGCACAAATTTTCTAGGGTTTACATCAATTCTAAGAAAATCGAAGAAGAATAATCAAGAATAACCCCACAGATGGTGTTCTTGGATCAAAGCTATCCTATATTCTTCCAAATCGTCTGTCCTCATCAATGGCACCCCAACCAATCCTTTCTCATGTCACAGAGGTCTCAAACAGGGCGAACCCTTCTCCCCCATGTTATTCCTCTTAGTGGTCGATGTGCTTAGCAGGTTGCTCCACAACAGCTGCAGTCATGGGGATCTCTCTGAGCTTCATCTCAAGGGCTCTTTAAATGACATCAAATCCCTTCAATATGCAGACGACACTATCATCTTCTGCAAAGCCCTCACCTCCGACATTATCAACCTCAAGGCTATCCTGTAACTTTTTGAGAATGTTAGTGGCCTAGCTATCAATTTCAATAAATCCAATTTTTATTACAGTGGTAAATCCCCTTCCAAGGGTCCTCGTTTTGCAACAATCCTTAACTGCTCCTATGCTTCTCCTCCTTTCAAATATCTTGGCCTCCCACTCAAAAAAGGTCCCCTATCTAGATCTGACTGGCAGTTCTTATTGGACTCTCTACACCGCAAACTATCTATTTGGAAAAGCAAACATCTCTCCTTTGGTGGTCGAATAGCTCTTCTCAAATCTGTCTTGTCTGCTATACCTATTTATTATATGTCATTCTTCAAACTCCCAAGTTGGCTCATCAGAGACATAGACAAGCTCAGACGTAATTTCCTCTGGGGTTCATCCTCCGATTATGCTAGGGGCAAGCACTCTATTAGATGGTCCACTGTCTGCTCCCCAAAAGCTAGTGGGGGGTTGGGGTGTTGAATATTCAGCTCTTCAATTCTTGTCTCCTCTCTAAATGGCTGTGGATCTTCTTGGACAGTAACAACTTTGTGGGTAGGGTTCTTCGCTCTCTCTACCCACCTATCCTTCTTAGCTCCAAATGCCCCAATCA